AAGGATCTCAACCGCGCAAAGTTTTAATCGGGTATCGTCCTCCCATTTTCTCCCACCCTTGTCTTCCCTCCTTTTTCAGGCGGGAATGATAGGCGAAGAACATAGGCGGCGTGGAGGGAGGGAGGGAGGAGAGGTTATCAAATTTTCCCACGTGCTCCCCCCGTCGCGTCCCTTATAAACACATTCATTGTCGTAGAACTTGAGGAGCGCTTATTTGGAAACTTTTGAGTGTTTTTTGCATATGGCACTGGTGGAAGACGGCGTTAGCTTCGTGGGAAACACCCCAGTCACTCGCCGAGTTTATTGGCCGAAAACTTTCCTTGTCGGCCTTCGTCTTGCTCACGCATCGCAGACCAGTGAATATTGAGAAGTCTCGAACTTTCCCAAAGTTTTTCGGCTCACGCAGGTGTCTACCGTCATATTACGCTGCCAGCTACACGGAAGCTCTGAAATTTTTATGATATTCAATGGGTGATGATGATGAATTTTGATGGATACTCGATGAAGTCACCGAAAGCAGCCTGAGGCATGTTGGATGTGTCGACACATCGGGCAGTTAAGTTTTAGACCCAAACAAATCCTTCTAAGAAAATTACCAAGCAGCGTTGTCTGTCTTTTAAGGATAAATGTGACGGATTCAGGCAAAAGGTGTTCTGGAAGCGAGAAGAATAAATGGGACAAGTATACCACAGCTTAGAGAAATGAATTGTGCATCATTTGGCGTGAAGTTCACCAAAAAAATTTCAAAAGTTGACTCTGCGGCTGTAATTCAACGTTTGAGGACGAAAAATGGGAAATTTCAGAAAACTGCGGAGAAAAGTTGTCGACGCTGTTGTCAGCCCTAGAGACAAGAAACTATGAACATGAAACACTTCCGAAGTATAGCATCCATCATGCAAATTATGGCTTAAAACTTGGACATGTGTTCTTAAGAAAGTGCTCAGCCTTGAAAACTGGAAATCGAAATTTTTTCTGTAGACAGATTTTTCCGCTGCAAGCGCACTGATCAATTTGAATCTCCACCTTGAAACACATTTGCATTTGCATGGCCCCATAAAATATCAAATAGACTAGTTGCAACTGTTCGTAATTGTGTCAATGAATATTGATGAGAAATGTTGATTTATAATTTATGTAATATTTAAAAAAAAGAAGATCCGGGCTAGCCTCTGCCCACTAATGAAGAAGTTCGGCTATGGAATTGATGCATGCAAGAATCGCAGAAGAAAAAAACACTGGTGCATATTCTTATGATTTAAGTTAAAATGATAGTATTGCATTACCGTGTGCACGAATAGGAGACTGTCATTCTAAAAAGGGAAAATCGAATGTTTACTGGGCCAGCGCGTAAATAATGAAATGACGGTATGCTTGCCCTGGTAAAAATTGGCAGTAGAATGTGTGTTCCAAAATACTATAGACCTAAAGTCGGCTGTAAGATTTCCAATAGCTTCTGTAGCCGGCTGTACAATTTCTTATAGCCTTTTATAGCCGATGGCGATTAAGCAACTAAAGCAAATAAAGTTTATGCTAAACGTTACTAAATACCGATACTAGAACTTAGTTAGTTTTTGGACTACCGCTCTCTTTTTGTGCCATAGTATCTTGATTTATTTTGCGAGGAAAGCTCCGTACTTTTGAAGGATGTCTGTCATTCTTAATATGTTGGAGCGCCTTAAATTTCGTATGATACTGTGCAATACCTCTGGTGTGGAATAGTTGCTTCAAGCGCCGTGGTACTCTGCGGCGCGGCGGCGGGCGGGTAGCCAGCCGAAACGCGCATTGGCGCCTACAAACCTAACAGGTATACTTCACGCATTGCGCAATGCGTGAAGTATCCCTGTTAGGTTTGGAGGCGCCGCGCCAGTGCGTCGCCGCTCCGCTTTGTGTTAGGCTCTAATATTTAATCTCGCGGAGTCAGCGTTGTTCAACTCATGATTTTGAAATGTTTGCACACTCTGTATGGACTATTCTCATTTTAATTGATGAAGAAAAATATGTTTTAAAGGAAAATATAATGTGTGTTTTGTAAATATGAAGGTAGTTCCGTATCAAACTTAATAATTTCCAAAGCACACGAATTTCTACACAATTTCTCATGGCCTTTTATAGCCAATGGCGAAAAATCGTAAAGTCCGGCGAAAGGAACTATAGCCCGACTGTATACTTTTTTATAGCTTCGTATAGCCCAGCTATATGATTTGCTCCGCTTTCTACAGCCAGCTATATGATTTTCAATAGCCATCTTTAGTCGGCTATAAGAACTCCTATGGTATTTTGAAACGCAGCTCGTATCGCCAATTTTTACTAGGGTGGCACCATAAGGATATTGCTGCTATAGAATTAATTAGTAAATTTGCAAAATTGACAGCCATTGCAATTCGGTGCGCTTTGATCCTCTGAAAAGAATTGCCTGCTGCACCCCTCTGAAGCATTAGTTTATTAGGCTGAAGAATTTTCTTCACCGTCTCCTTTTTTCCCTTTTAGAGTAATTTATGCTTTCATGATGAAGAAACAAGCGCAAGGTCATCGCTAAGATCTACTGGAATGACGATGAATCTCAGCCTTAAAGACTTCACAAGTTGCCTAAGAACTACTACAAATTTAATTTAATCTAAAAGCCTGCTTTAGATTTATGGACAAAAAAGAGTTTTCACACAAAAATTTGGTTGCAGCTTTGTAAAGTTGGCTTCATTTGATGTCACCTCTGATCTTCTATCTATTATCTTTTCAAAGGAAGCTTGCCAGAAATTTGAGAAAATTTAGTTAGGGATGCTATAACGCTTATATTTAAATCACTAATTTGTAGAAGCTCAGTTTTAAATTGAATTCTATTACACGTCCTCGGAAAAAATGGAAAATGAAAAATTTGAAATTGAAAAGATAATAATTTGAGCATTGACTTAAAAGAAGTGCTTCTGCCAAAGCAACTTGGGATTATAAAACTGATTTTTCTTTGTATTTTAAAACAGATAGCATACCAACAATTTGTAAACACTCTACAGCTATTTACCTACCGGAATCATTGTCCAAAGTCTTTTATTTTCAAGCCCTATCATCAAACGCTAACCTCTTTTCTAGAAGAATGTATATTTTAAGTTTTTTTCACGCTTCGGAGAAGAAGGGTCATTATCTAAGCTTGTTTTTCACCATCTGTAAAAATTGGCTTTAAAACAGCTAAAAAATAGTATCCTCTCTCAATGGAGTGCGAAATTTCCATTTTAATTGACCTTTTGAATGCGTTTTAATGTGTGGAAATAAATAAATTTCACAACTCACAATTCCCATTTGTAACGCATGTTAGAATTTTTAAGCAAAAAAGTAAATTAAAACAAGAAGATTTAGAATGGTTTTTGTTCTAATAAAAAGTAAGCTCGTAGTTTTTACAAGTAGTTCTACCAGCCTTCTGAGTCAATAAACCGCAACATAAGTTATGATTATTTTCACTAAAAAGAGAAGTAGTAAGAATGACCCTACTAGTGATGCATAGTGATTAATGAACCTTTACAGAACAATGATTGATAAAGTCTAAAATAAAATATTCTATTTATAAAATGAGATCCACCTTCTCATTTATATTGTGAAATCAAATTTCTATCATTCATACCATACATTTTCAGAGTGGAATGTGAACTTGGTCTACCCTATGAGCAAAAAAATTGGACCTAATGAATGCAAAAAATCAACGTTTCCATGCTGTATTTCTTAACGACTCATAAATCTGACTGCTTTTATTTTTAATCTTTTCAGATAAACCCGGAGAATCATTTTTAATTCAAATTCCATGCCCTTTCCAATTTTTTATGGTTACAGAGGGACTTACAACTTCCAGTTGATTTTGTATTCTTTAAAAAAAAAAAAAAAAAAAACTGTATTATTCCTTTCAAAGCTGACTTTTCAGATTAGCTGGATTAACGGAACTATACTCGCCAGCTCTTTTTCCTTTTTTTATGCAAGTGCCTGCATTCGCACCATTTTTTAGACCTCCATGCATAATACAAGCGACGCACAGTGAACAAGATTTGGACCTTCGGTGGCAAAACTTAAATTCCACTTCGAAAAGTGATATTCTGGAGAGGCATTTCAAAAACTGATCTTTTACACTCTTAAATTTTCTTTTACATCATTGTATTTTAATAAGTTCCTTTAGCAAGTTTTAGATTCTCCCAAAAATACTTTAAAAAAGTGCTGTGCTGTGCAATTATTCGAGCATCCACAAGACAGAATTTTTTTTCAAAAAAATCAAAAAAAAAAAAAAAGACAGTTGCCTCAAATACTCAATTCTTACGATTCTATCCACCAAGAATCCAGTATAAGAAACAATCATAGGTACATGAAACAAAATTGTATAGGCATCGGAGACTTACGAAAAAATGGTAAGGACTTCCAAAACATCCATCTTATCAGATTTTTGTGAAAATTTGTTATCGAAAGTAAAATCTAGGGTTCAATAAACAGAAACGAGGAAATTGCTGATGAATCTTTTTTGTTTGAAATTACTTACTGCTTCAATACTACAAATACCGAGGCCTGGCTCCGCATATTTTTATCATTTTCTCAGTAACGGGAGAGAAAAAACTTGTTTTGAATGCTTACTGAAAAAAACGAAAGAAAAAAAGGTACCTAGAGAGTAGGTCATCATCACATATATGCAACCTTATTCAATGGTTTTATGGTTCTTATATATTAAGAATGAAACCAGCATTTTTTGTGCGTTTAAATTTTGGGCTTTAAACCATTGTAATTTTGGTTCAAACACATAATTGTTGACGCCCAAATTTTGAAATTTTTGCCTCGTCGCAGAAAATCAGATACTTCAAGTTTTCCCTTACTGGTCCTTGAAGCTTTGAGAAAAGTCACAAATCAGTTTCGATCATTTCCTCGGATACATTAAATACGCATTTCATTCGCCACCTAAGGTCTCGTCACTGCTCACAGTGCGCAACCGATGATCAAAATCGATGAGACGAATCCAGGATCCGCAAATGAGGAAAAATTACCTGCGTCACGAACATCATCCACTACAACAGCCAAACCACCGGTCAGGTGTCTCCAGTCGATTGCAGTTATTGCAAGAGTAAACACGCACAGAGACTAAAAAAACTCCGAAA